TGTCAAACACTCACTACAGCAGTTGATGGACTGCTTAGCAGAGATAAAATCCTGGCTGAGCAAAAACTTTCTCAACCTCAACGAGAGCAAGACTGAGGTCATCTTTTTTGGACCGCAACCTCCAGCCTCTCCGGTTGATATTCTGGGGTCTCTCAAAAAAAACATCCTCCCCTCGGTCATGAACCTTGGAGTGACCTTCACCAGCACTTTTAAATTCGACAAGCAGATCAGCACTGTAGTCAAATCCTGCTTTTTTTAAATAAGACTATTGGCCAAAACCAAGTCGTATTTATCTTTTAATGACTTAGAAAGGGTTATCAACGCCTTTGTAACCTCGAGACTGGACTATTGCAACGCTCTGTATGTGGGTATGGACCAGGCCTCAATTAAACGCCTGCAGCTAGTCCAAAATGCAGCTGCACGTTTGCTGACTGGCCACAAAAAGCGTGACCACATCACCCCTATTCTGGCCTCACTACACTGGCTTCCAGTTCGGTTCAGAATTGATTTAAAAATCCTTTTATTTGTTTTTAAAGCACTAAATGGGCTGGCTCCGGCCTATATAGCTGAACTCCTCCAGCGCTACACCCCAGCCAGAGCTTTAAGGTCTGCTGACCAGCTGCTGCTGGTAGTGCCCAAGACCAGGCTTAAAACCAGAGGGCACCGAGCCTTCGCAGCAGCTGGCCCTAGGCTCTGGAACACTCTGCCCCTCCATGTGAGGTCGGCCCAGACCCTAGGGGTTTTTAAATCCACTCTAAAAACACACTTCTTCTCTCTGGCTTTCTAGTTAGAGCGGAGCACGACTCCTGACTTTTCCTTGTGTTTTTATTTTAATTTTGTTTTTTTATATATATCTGTTGTAACTTATTGTCGTTTTATTGTGATTGTAGTAATGTGTTTTTATTACATGTACAGCACTTTGGCTCGACCAAAAATCGCTTTTAAATGTGCTATATAAATAAAACCTGATTTGATTTGATTTGATTTAACGAGCGTCAGTGTGTGTTAACGAGCGCCAGTGTGTTAACGAGCGTGTGTGTGTTAACGAGCGTGTGTGTGTGTTAACGAGCGTCAGTGTGTGAGCAGACAGATGTGTAACCAGCAGACGGAGCTTCAGCCTCTTTCAGGTCACTGCAGCTCCACATGTTCCAGAGAGGAAGCTGCAGATCTGGAGCAAACACTCTCTTACTCCTGTCACTGAAGCTGAACATGGGGTCTATTCAAAGTGTAATGGGATGTTTTAAGTTGAGCATTGAAAGGTTACCATGTGTTCTACCAGCTCTTTCTAACACAATGGTTGACAGGCAGCAGTAAATATGACCGACATGAGTGGTAGTTAATGGATGTCTTTATTACTGTAAGGTGGTTGGCCTTCTCCTTTTGGGGAATGTAGACATGATGTATCTCCTGTAGCTAGCAGGTGTGTTTAAAAGAATCCTATGCTATGTTTTCTTGTCTATTTGAACACCTCCTCTTGTATTCTTGGTGTGAAAATGTGAATACAGTGAGACCCTCTGCAGACCTCCAGGTGTGTGTACTTCGCTGCAGACTGCTCGACTCTCTGTAATGTTGTTCAACTCCCTAAAGACCAAGAATCTTCATTCCAGTAAAACAGAAAGGTTTCCTCACCGTTGTATAACTATTTGTTAGTGTCTCTTAAATCCCACCCAGAAGCAGAGCTCACCTTTTAGTGCGAGGTATAACATTCAGAGGTTTGCTCTTTACTCATTCATTTCATGCTGATTGACTCGTTTCCTTATGAGCACATTTCTGCAGCTTTGCATTGAATTCACTTATATGTTTGTCAAACAATAAAGTGTTGAATAAGAGCTCCTTTAGTTAAAAAATAAATGTATGAGGGTATTGATACGGAAGAGGATTAGGGCCACATTTAGAAAGAAAACTGAGATCTGACCAAAAGTCAATTTCTTTGTTTAGTTCTAAAATAGGAAATATATTGATATATATTACAAAATGCAGGTGCTAATGAGAGATTACATGCTGTTGTTGCAGGTCAGAGAAAATCTCCCCTGTGATGTGGAGAGGCTCGCGCCCTGGAAACAGGAAACCTCTTTAAAGGAAAAAGTGTGAAACCAGTGGAAAGAAGTGAAGAGACACACACACACACACACACACACACACACGCACGCACACACACAAACACACAAAAACACATGCACACAAACACACACACACACACACACACACACGCTGCAGGGAGCATACACTGATATAACAAACACACACACACTGAGATAACACACACACACACTGAGATAACACACACACACTGAGATAACACACACACACACTGAGATAACACACACACACACACACTGAGATAACACACACAGGAACAGGACCACACTCAGCATTGTAGCTTTGATACGGTCACACTGAAGCCCTGAAACATGAGTCAATTCTAAAACCTAAATACATTTCTAAAGAGTTAAATTCCAGATCAAATGGACATTAAAGGCTGTTGTTCATCTAAATGTACGATTCCTTGTTTCCTAAATATTAGTCTGTGTTGATGTTGGAATGGATCTGTGATGAGAAGCCTTTAGATCTGTTTCATGATCCGTTAGTCCTGTTGGTATATTAATGATGAATGAAGAGTTAATAGAGCAGCAGAGGGTCTCCCAACGTCAGCCGGTCACATCCGTGAGATGCTCCTAAAGCTTTAGAACAATATGAACTCATTGGAGATAATCAGGCTCTATGAAACTCTGTGAGAAGTTCAGGACCCAAGGCTTTGCTGAGTCATCAGACATTAAACATGACTCAGCACTTATTCTCAGTCAGTTCACACATCATCTGACGGTCATAAATGTATATGATATGTATAATAATGTTTGTGTACCACTGAAAGAACGGCACGGTTATTACATGTACTGGGATATGAGATGTTGGCCCGATCTCCCATCTCTAATCAGCAGCAATGAGTCCAAATGAGTTGGGAGATTTCTGCGAGTTCGATATCTAAAATGGACCATATCGTACTACAGTTTGTCATTCAGTGTGTGTGTGTGTGTGTGTGTGTGTGTGTGTGTGTGTGTGTGTGTGTGTGTGTGTGTGTGTGTGTGTGTGTGTGTGTGTGTGTGTGTGTGTGTGTGTGTGTGTGTGTGTGTGTGTGTGTGTGTGTGGCCTGGCAGTGAGGCAGTGTGCAGATGGAGAGCAGGAGGGTTAGAACATTTCTCTGCAGGCATTGTCTGCCTCTGAGCTTCATGCATATATATACATCACAACACACACACACCCCCTCCCATATGTCCATAACATAGTAGTGTATGAAGCACAGTGTAAACATAGTCTCTTTCCATCAGAGCAGCAGTGAGTGACTGCCTGAGATCGCATGCTGTGGTTTTATTAAATGTGCCAACTGCTAGGACTGTCTTAGGGAAGATAGCATTTAGATGCGCAGCTCCACTGTCCTGGAATAGTCTGCAATTGAAATGGAAACTGAGCAATCTGGTGCCACTAAATGTTTTTAAAGCTCGGTTGGATGCTACTCAATCGGAAGCTGTTGGTACCTGTTCATGTGGATAGTATGTAATTTGTAATCCCTGTAATGATACTGTATGATGTCCTTTTGTTGCTCTGTTTATGTTTTTAATGTTTCATGTGGAACCTACTTGAGCAGGTCTCCCTTGAAAAAGAGGTCAATGATCTCAATGGGATCTCAACCTGGATAAATAAAGGTTTGAAATGAAATGAAATGAGTGAGACCTTCACATGTTTCTAACTCCTCCTCAACATCAGTGACGGCCGACTGTCTTTATAAAACTTATTTTGATGGTTTACTTTAAAGGGTCACTACGACTGCTCTCAGATTGCTCTCAGACAGTCTCAGACTGTCTCAGACTGTCTCAGACTGTCTCAAGGCCCTGACACACCAGGCAGTCACCAGAGAACTCGCCGACGCCGACTGTTGCGTCGGCGAGTTCTCCTGCGTCTTGGCCATGTGTCGCACTGGAACACTCCGCAAAGACTTCAGCCTTACCAGCAGGCGGCGGTAGTGTGTATTCGTCATTCAAAATAGGCAACAACCGGAAGACAGAGAAGAAGAACAGACTGATATAAACAAACAACCAATAGCGTGTGCGTTCCATTTTCACTCTCGTCCATCGAAAACATGTTTCGTGCGGTACTGGAGCTATCAGCCCTTGGAGTGTTGCTTGTGGAAGACATTCTCAAGCAACAGTCTCTCAAGAGCTTATATATACAGTCTATGCTCAAGAGGCGGAAGCGAAGAATTAGGAGAAACCGCACTAAATGGGTGAAATCATGGATACTGCAGCGAGAAGCTCGTGGGGCTTTCCCGAACCTGTGTCGAGAGCTGGAGTTCAATGAAACGCCAGATTTCAGATACTTTCCTCAAGCTTTGGTAAAGTGTATTCTTTGAATGCAGATTTGGGTTCTGCCCGCTCTGTATTAATGTCATGTGGATTTTGCTGTCATGTTGACAGCTTATCATCATGTAGGCGTTGATAAAAGCTCATTCTAATGTTGTGTTATGTGTGTATGAAGGTACGAAATAAAGTTTTGCGTTGCCTATCCTGCTATTTGTGTTTATTCTTTTAATCACACAGCGATAAGAAACAATAACAATGTGCCTACATAACTGTCAGTTGCAGCCCTAGCATTAGTATTGGTTATAGTAAAATAATGCAGATATATTATATATATATATATATCCCAACAGGCCACCTTGTTTATGGTTAGATTCAGTTTTAGTAGAATATAAAATACATGAATGACATTTCAAGTCTTTACGACTTATAATGCTGACTCATGTCAGGATTATAGGACCATTAATGCTGACTCATTTCAGACTCACTTGGGCTCATAATGCTGACTCATTTCAAGGTTTCATGACTCAAAACGCTGACTTATTATGCTGACTTATTATGCTGACTTATTATGCTGACTCATGTAAGTGTTTTAGGACTCATAATGCCGACTCATTTCAGACTCACTTGGACTCATAATGCTGACTCATTTCAGACTCACTTGGACTCATTTCAGACTCACTTGGACTCATAATGCTGACTCATCTCAGGCTCACTTGGACTCATAATGCTGACTCATCTCAGGCTCACTTGGACTCATAATGCTGACTCATCTCAGGCTCACTTGGACTCATAATGCTGACTCATCTCAGGCTCACTTGGACTCATAATGCTGACTCATCTCAGGCTCACTTGGACTCATAATGCTGACTCATCTCAGGCTCACTTGGACTCATAATGCTGACTCATCTCAGGCTCACTTGGACTCATAATGTTGACTCATCTCAGGCTCACTTGGACTCATAATGCTGACTCATCTCAGGCTCACTTGGACTCATAATGCTGACTCATCTCAGGCTCACTTGGACTCATAATGCTGACTCATTTCAGACTCACTTGGACTCATAATGCCGACTCATCTCAGGCTCACTTGGACTCATAATGCCGACTCATTTCAGACTCACTTGGTCATGCTGACTAATGCCAGGGTTTCATGACTCAAAACACTAGTGTTTTTATGACTCAACGCTGGGTCATGTAATGGTTTTAGGACTTAATGGATCAGCTGTTGAAACTCACTGCTCTGGGTTCTGTTTCTTTGAGGCAGAGCAGCTCAGATATTGACGGTGTTTCCTAACCCACGGCAACAACACGACGTAACTCTTAATTTAGCCGGGCTTCCCCTCGGAGAAACACGTAAATGGTGTCATTACTTCCAGTTAAGTGGATACATTGAATTATCCCGTGCAGCCATTACTGCTGCATGGAGGGATGAAGAGCTGATGATGACGAGCGTGTGCGTGTGTGTGTGTGTGCGTGTGTGTAATTTTGTATCTTTTATTAATCACTTACGGTGCGTCTACACAGCAGCGTTAAAAAAATCTTGAAACGCTTCTGCCCATTCACTTTGAATGGGGTGACGTCACTTTCCCTCACTTTTCGCCGAAATGCATTGTGGGAAGCAGAGCGGAGATTTTCAGGATTTTGAGGATTCAAAGTTGAACAATGTTCAACTTTTGAAGCTGAGGTGGAAGCATCAGCCAATCAAATCCTGTGTACGCAAATCTGACAGTTCAAGCTCTAGCCAATCAAACCGTGTGTATGCTGGGAGAGACATACTGCAGGTCATTTCCTCATATTCCAAAAAATGGAGGAGAAATTAGCGGTAGCGAATCAATCACCCGGTGCTTTATGACCAGACCTACCGGGATATAAACCGGAGGAGCCAGGCATGGAGGGAGGTGGCAGAGACAGTGGTATGTTTTCGCCTGTTTTGGGGAGTTTATATCCAGCTTACTTCGGGCTTTTTTGCTTCGTATGTCGCGGGCGGGAGATTCATGTGATTGGTTGCTCGCAAAAAATCCTCAAGCTTCAGATACGCCCACCTCCAAGATTTTTTTAACGCTGCTGTGTAGACGTACCGTTAATGTATTGCATGCAAGTTGTGATATTTTATTATCTTTTATTGTTATTTTTGTATTTAATTGTTTTTATCATTTATCATTGAAGGACCACTCCTTTTGTACTTGCCCATTATCTGTGATCTGTGAAGCACTTTAAGCTAACCTGTTTTAAATAAAGGTTAACATGATAGTGTGTGTTAACTCATCCATGTAAATACTATCCCTTTATTGTTATTATTATTATTATTATTATTATTAAACTCTTACCTTGGCTAAGTGAGAGTTGATCCATTTGGTGAAGGTCCTCTTCTGCACCGCCTCCTGCTCGTCTGGAAGAGAGAGAGCAAACATGAGAGGCTGCTTCAGTTTGTGAGGAAACACAAACTCAATCAGAGGACTCTTTAAAGTAGAGACACTACATACTGATATACACCTGAACATCAGCAGGAGAGGACTCTTTAAAGTAGAGACACTACATACTGATATACACCTGAACATCAGCAGGAGAGGACTCTTTAAAGTAGAGACACTACATACTGATATACACCTGGACATCAGCAGGAGAGGACTCTTTAAAGTAGAGACACTACATACTGATATACACCTGAACATCAGCAGGAGAGGACTCTTTAAAGTAGAGACACTACATACTGATATACACCTGAACATCAGCAGGAGAGGACTCTTTAAAGTAGAGACACTACATACTGATATACACCTGAACATCAGCAGGAAAGGACTCTTTAAAGTAGAGACACTACATACTGATATACACCTGAACATCAGCAGGAAAGGACTCTTTAAAGTAGAGACACTACATACTGATATGATGTTGATTCTTCTCTAATATCTGCAGCTATAACTGACGCATGTCTTAAAGAGGTCACACAAGGAGATCTAATCCCTTTTGTTGCTCTGAATACATTCAGCCACACAGCTTCATGCATTATGCAGCAGTTTGAACAAACACTTGATTTCTGCTGCAGCTCTCTGACAACCGTCTGCACGCCGGTCAGCTGCTGCTGCATGGGGGCCATTTTCACCCCCCCCCCCCCCACACACACACACACACACACACACAGCAACACACCGTCACGTGATGGAGGAAACAGGCAGCAGAGACGAGCAGCTAACCCTCGGACAAACGCTTCATCACTGAGGCACAGGGGAAGCCCACTGAAGCATAGCACACACAACACACACACACACACTCACACATACACACACAGCTGTTTGTGCAGCATGACACTGTGGTACTGGAGCACACACACACACACTGTCTCTCAGCTGTTTGTTGTGAAGGTGAACCCTCTGTTAGCATCTCCTCACGTTAGCTGCCCTACTTACCCCTCAGATACTGGAAGAATCCGGAGACCAGGTTCAGAGAAGACTTCCTGCCGTCCTTACGCTGATCCATTGCCCCCCCACACACACACTCTCTCTCACACACACACCCCCGCCTCTCATGAGGACCAGCGACACACAGATTTATATACGTGTGAGGATGAAAATCCACTGAGGGAAAACTGGAAATCTCTCTCCAGCAGGAAGCAAAACAGATCTGACTCCCCCTCCTCCCTGACACACACACACACACTCTCTCTATCTCACACACTGGCACACACTCTGACACACACACACTCTCACACACTAGCGGATCGGGTCATGAACGAGCCCTCCATCTTCCTGTGTTTCCCCCCCGGTGTAGCCATGCCTGTGTGATGCTCAGCTGCCTCTCAGCATCACAGGCTGAGCAGCAGCCAATCAGAGCGCAGCAGCAGCCGTGATGTCACAGCCTGCATTATCCTCAGCTGAGAGAGAGAGAGAGAGAGAGAGAGTGTGTGTGTGTGTGTGTGTGTGTGTGTGTGTGTGTGTGTGTGTGTGTGTGTGTGTGTGTGTGTGTGTGTGTGTGTGTGTGTGTGTGTGTGTGTGTGTGTGTGTGTGTGTGTGTGGCAGCTGCTAGATGTCACTGACAGCATTAATTATTCATATGTACACCACGCTGAGCTTCAGTCTCTTAATTGACTTCTAGTTAATTGAATCAAGAGCACAGGGACCAGAAACATATTATATATACAAATATGATTAACCGTGTTATTATTTCATTTATAAATCTATCATTTGAACTTAATTTATAACAGATAGTGCAGCTTAGAGTGCGTCGCAGAGGACAGATCATGGGGAAATGAGAGGTGGTCCATCAATAAGAAAAACCATTAAATGATAAGATAACAATTCAAATTAATAAAATATCTCAACTTTAATACAATCGAATAAATAATTAATAAAATAAAATGTGTGCAACTTACATGCAATAAATTAAGTGATTATTAAAAGATACGAAATAAAAAAAATACTAATGTTTTACTTAACAATAAAATAACAAATAAAATACAAAAAATGTGTATAAAATAATGTAAATTCTAATAATTCATGAAAGGCCTAAAAATACAGGTTTTAAGTTTAAAGATGACTTCCTGCAGCTGTTACATGTATTTATTTTAAATGTAATCAAATTTGAAATGAAATATTTGTATTTAGTCCGTTTTTATTAGATTTAAAATGACCTGTATCAAACACACACACACACACACACACACACACACACACACACACACACACACACACACACACACACACACACACACACACCACACACCACACACACACACACACACACACACACACAACACACACACACACACACACACACACACACACACACACACACACACACACACACACACACACACACACACACACACACACACACACACACACACACACACACACACACACACACTCTCTGTAGATATATCCCATAATAGAGGATAAGTGAAGCTTTGATGGCTCCTCTCCTCTTCCTCAGGACCCCCCCCACACTAAAAGCCTCTCTATAAAAAGCTCTTTCTGTCTCTTTGTGTCAAACAGGTTAAAATTAGCTCCATTTGAAACGCTGATGCTCAGAGTCATACATTCATATTAGCTCTGCTATTAAGCATCCTTCACTAACCGACCTGCAGATATAAAGCCTTCAGTTCGATTTCCTGACGACTGTTTTCCAGGTTAACTGGATGAAGACAAACAGAGACATTTGTGCTTATTATCTGAACGAATCGTGAATAAAATGATGGCTTTTTGTACATTTATGAGCATATATATATATATATATATAATTATATATATATATATATATATATATATATATATATAATTGTTTCTGTTGATCAATGGAAAATAAGTTATGCATAAATGTCTTTAAATGTTTAAATGAATGTCTTTGTGATGAATGGAACATCCAGCAGAAGATTGCTCATCAAATGCAGATTTCATATCTCCCTATCTCTTTAAACCTGCGCAGCTCTTACACTTTTTATTCAGATTTATCTGCATTTTTTTCACAGTAATTTAAAATGTATATTTTATTTCATATTCGTACTTATTTCCTTTTTACACATTTTTTTATTTTTTATTTTATAATATTTTCTTAAAGTGTTTTGTTGAGACGTTACTCTTGTGTGTTCTTCTCTTCCTCTGCTTTGCTCCATAACCCTGAAGTGATATTTACAGTGATGTACTCTGCAGAGCAGGAAGCATCACCAACATGTGTTGTGTTCAAAGACAGTCAATTACTGCAGGATTATTGTCTTCCTGTCAGAGGGAAAGTGAAGCAGCTCTCACACTAAGAGCCTCTATCTCTCCCAGGTGACCCCCCCCCCCCCCCCCCCCCCACTCAACAACAGAGTACATGCAGTACTACCTAAAGTACTATCTGCAGTACTATCTGCTGTACTATCTGCAGTACTATATTCAGTACTACCTGCTGTACTATCTGTAGTACTACATGCAGTATTATATTCTGTACTATCTGCAGTACTATATTCAGTACTACCTGCTGTACTATCTGTAGTACTACATGCAGTATTATATTCTGTACTATCTGTAGTACTACAGTACCTGCAGTATTCCCAGAGGTATTGTGTGTCCTGAGATCACCTGAGTATTACTTGATGTCCTCATGCTGTCACTAAGTCCCTGGGGGGGGGGGGAAACTACCCTCAGATATGACTGAGGGTAGTTCCCCCCCTGTCAGAGTCAGCTGTTCCTGAAGCTTCTCCTGACAGCTCTCAGACCCACAAACACACATTTATAAAGATTCACAAATAGACATGTTTAGTTTTGAATAGTCACCTTTTCCTCTAGAACTGAATTGCTCAAAAGTCAAAAGCTTTTAAAATAATTACGGATTTCTTTTTACTGTAACAGAATTTATATCCACAGTATTTGTACTTTTGTGCCATAAAACAACAAGAATACATTCAAATAAATAAATGATTTAAAGACAAAACACACCGTTACATTCCCCCCTTTTTATTAGATTTATATACTTTCATTTTCATAGATCTATTTCTTTTAAATAATGTTCCACTTATTTATTTATTGCTGCGGACACATTTTGAAGCTGATTTTATTTATTTTGTTTTATTTTACGTCCTGTAGGATAAACTAATAATCCAGTAGAAGATACACTGGAACAAATGCTGCTCCAAAAACAAGTTCAACAATAATGAAAACAAGGTGTTTCCACTTGAAATGAGTCCAAAGATCTGCCAATAGAACAAGAGAACATCAGCTTGGTGAGATGTCTAGAACTAAGAAGGGATATTTAGATAAATCACATCTTGTAATCAGCAGGAGAACTCATTTTGAACTATATTTCACCAGAATCAGGAAATGTTGTGTTACAGAATAATGCTCAAAGGTTTCTGTGTTCTGATGTTAGTTGGTGACTTTCTAATAAATACGTAGAAAAAGATGTGTTTCATCTGAGATACAACTCAAAGTGAGATGTTTTGACTCAACAAGATGAAGCATTGTCTAAAAACAAGAGCCTGTATCTCACTGCAGTGATACTCCTGAAGTTATTGTGTCTTCTATCAGAGACATGTTCTGACCAGATATCAGACACAGATACTGGAAAGATCTAGAGTTTTTGCAGAGTATCTGCTGATTGAACCCCCCCCCCCACTAATGCTTCCTCTCTGTCACTACCCGATCGGTCCACCTGTCCGATCTGTACTGCGCATGTGCGAGATGGTCCGCCACTACATACGGCAACTCTACTAGGACACTTGACACAGTGGCTTTTGGCAAAGCAGAAAAAGAACTGATAGAGATGAGTTATTGTTATTACAACGTGACTTCACTATTATTTAACAACTCTTTTTATTGGGTTCTTTTATTTGGGGTTAAATGCATTGTTAGAATAAGTGAGAAATGGATTTAACTTCTGTTAGACAGCTATATGCCATACATGTTTGCATACATT